TGCCATCAGAGTACTTGTGTACTCGTGTGTTTTTCTGCTCTTCCCGCGGCACATGGAGGAGGGTCGACCCCGCGGCCGTCGCGGTGGTGTTGGCCGCGGGCTCGGGTGTTCCCCTCCGCGGCGGCAGCGCGCTGCTCTCGGCCATGTGTGTGCGAGAGGCGGAGCGGGAGGCGCGGGCAACATTTCGCTCTGTTATCACCAGAAGCTCGTAACGAGCACTTTTCGAGCGGGTCTCTGATCGGGTCACGTAACCCTCTTTGTGCTTGTTCGGCGGTGCTCGGCGTCCGCATCCGTCTCTGGGCGGTATGGCGTGGCGGGGACGGGTTCGCCGCCCGGTGAAGGGAGGGGGTTTGTCGTTGCGTTGCAAGATTCACATTACTGCGCCTCAAGTTGACCGAAAATGTGCTGAGGTATAACGGATTAATGTTGCTGGTTTTCTAGGTCGAACACAGTAATAGCGTCGATTATGGTAGTTAAATGCAAGGCTGGCAACTTTCTCTTATTTTGTAAATTAAAAACCCATTCACGTGTGTAATCAGCACCTTGCCCCGTAAGAAGAAGGAAAGAAAATGGTGGCGTAGCGTAGCGTGGTCTCACAACAAAGCAGAAAGCCACATCGTGCAATATCGTTTTTAGTCAAAGTAACATATTTCAAATTATGTACCTAGTACCGTGGGTTCTGCAAACAAAAATTTATCAAATAACGTCCAAAAAAAAAACACGTAGATGTGAGAATATTGGTATCAGGTTATGTTGCTTTGTTGTGAGACCGCACTACGCTACTCCACCATCTTCTTTCTGTTCTTCTTACGGGGCAAGGTGCTCATAATGTAGCTTAGTGAATATGCTTTATTTTAGAAACAGCCAAAAGGGCTGAAAATTTTTTCGTTGATTTGTAAAATTGGGGGTTTGAGTCATCGAGCCTGGATTTTCTATAATCGGCGATAATCGGCTCTATTTGTCGTGGAGGGGAGTTTCGGGGGGTTTCGGTGGCGCGCTGAGGTTGCCTTGTCTGCCGCTGGGGCCGCCCCGCTGCGCCACCGTGCGGCCCAGCACAGCCGGGGCCGTCAGTGTTGACATCAACATCAGCTGAGCAGCAGCCGCGCCCGCACACGGCCCGCACCGTCTCTTTGACGTCTGTGTGGCCGCAGTGAAAAGTAGTTGTACGAACGCGAGTGGAACAGTGTTCGGGACAAGGGCCGTGGCACAGCGGCGGAGGCGGCAGCAGCATGGGGAACCCGCTCAACATTGCCAAACTAATCGCACTTTTCGACGCAGGATCCAAGAAGAACCGGAGCTCGAGTCCGCTGAGCGATGCGTCCACCAACTCGACTACTCGAACGAAAAGTGCCACCCTGCCGACGCCCCGCGCCACCGCACGTGAGTACACTGTGCCATTTCTTGAGTTATGAAAATTACATATGTGCATTAGGTATCTGTCGGGTGTCACGCTTTCACAAAATCCCATCTATGATTTACGTTTCTTAAAACTAAAGATACGGCCGGCGATTACTGTGCAAATTGACTCACTCTCGCGCGCGGACTCTGTTCGTATAGTATCAGTTAGATCAAGCCGCCGGCGTTGCCTCTCGTTTGACTTTGTGCTACAATGTTTAGTTTTGGCCTGCGAGTTCAAAAACCTCAAAAACCTCCCGCCCCGCGTGCTCGTGCTGGCCATGACCGTCGTCTGCTATGGCCGGCGTGACGGCGTCGCGACGCTGCCGCGCGGTGGCCGTCGATACTCCCGGCCAGCGGCGCCCGCTGCTGCCTCGTCCGGCGCCCGCCAGAGCGCGCCTGGGCGCAGGCCGGGCCGCGGGCCGCCCGTGCCGGATGTGCTGCCTACCTCGCGGGCGCTGGCCGCTGCTCGGTTGTTACCTCCCCCTTGTTTTGTAAACTCACCCCGTTCCTCCTGTGCAGATGGAGGCGCGCGGGAGCGGTCGGCCCGCGACAAGGCGGCCGCGGAGAACGCCGAGGTGCTCAAGAAGAACCAGCGCAACAAGACCACCGTGACGCCCATCATGCCTCGCACTGGTGAGTTTACTTGTAAATGTTACTTGACGTTCCGTTCCCTCCCTCTCTTCCCAGTCCAATGCTCCAGCAGCGATCGGAGCGAGTGCGCCTGCGGGCGAGCCTGCCATATAGGCGGCCTTTAACGTCTTACGCCGCGAGCAGGAACTAAACACACACAGGCGAGCGCGCGCGCGCTGGTTCGGCTCACCAAGCCAGTCTATAGTGAAATCTCAATCTACTTGACGGGTGCCTGACGGGTGCCGCGCGGAGGTGCAGCTGCAGTGAATGGAGTGCGATAACTATCCCCACCCCCTCTTCCTCCTCGCCTCTTTCCGCCGCCACCCCTTTCGTCTTCATCGATGATGACTTTCTCGCAATTTGAGTGAAAGGCTCGCCCCGTTCACGCGCTCGCACAACATGCTCGCCCACTTGCTCTGCTTGCTCGCGGCTCATGTGTCGAGTCCAGCGGGTGCGAGACAGAGAGAGCGAGAGAGAGACAGAGACACTGGTCAGTGTCCTCTTCGTGACATGTCGCGCCCTGTGTGTGCGCGTTGCTTCCGCCATTGACGACGCTCCGGGCGGATTTGCACGGGCCTAACCGCAACCAACCGCCGTGTGTGGCGCGCGTTGCGACGGGGCGGGTTGTCTGTCACGCACCGTCACGGCAGTCGCCTCGTACCCTTTTGCTCCCCTTCTCCACCCTTCCCCTCCCGACCCTCGCCCGCCCGCCCACCTCCACCCGCAGCCCTGCTGCAAGCTGAGCCCGAGCTTGCTAGCCTTACGGTATCCATATGTAAGCTTACTGCACGTGAAATGCCAGTTGCGATGGCAGTTTGTATGCATCAGGTGGGGGTGTGGGTGTGTAACCCCCCCCCCCTCTCCCTCTCCGGAGGTCGCAACCGTGTCATTTTACGACGACGACCCCCCGCTCCCCCGCGGTGTATTTGAAATGCCGGAAATGGCAGTGCCGCGCTCGCTGATCCCTCTCCACTTACCGGGGTGGTGGTGGGGGGCAAGGCGACTGGATTAGTGAAAGTGATCTCATCCTCCAACGAGCGGTCATTAATTCCCCATGCCGCTGAGCCGCAGCCGATCCTGGTAGTGCCGCCACCGACCCCCGCCGCGACACCGGACAATGCCCCCCCCCCCCCCCCCCCCCCCCCCCCCCCCCCCCCGGGCCCGGCCTTGCGGCGCCGCGGCCGCGCCGATGAGTTTGCGCTACCCGTGTAGTCCTCCGTGCCCAGCACGGCTGATGTCCTCTGGACGTCACCGTCACCCCTTTCCCTCCTCACCTCTCTTTTTCTGCGGCGTGAGTTCCTTTCTTTCGGGCCCGCGGTCGTTGAGCTCGTCCCGTCCGCACCGGGTCACGGTCGGGCGGCCGCGGCAGTTTCGGCTGCTTTGAGGATGACCCCTTGGTGCTTCCC